ATAGAACAGTTTCAAGAACCTCCAATGAAATTAAAAATTGTAATAATAAAAACTAAAGAGAATTTCATTATTGACAAGTCTTGATAATTGAACATAGTAAAAATGAACTAAAACTAAACAGACATAAGTGAACTTTTTCTTCCTCATCCTCTTATTCCGACTCTGTTTCTGATTCTGATTCCGGTTCCTCTGATCCTGTTTCTGATTCTGATTCCGATTCCTCTGATCCTGTTTCTTCATCGTAACTATCGTTGCTGCCATTATCGCTTTCAGCTTCTTGTTGGGCTTCTTTTTCTTCTTCAGCCTTTTGTTCTGCTTCCTTTTCTTCTTCAGCTTGTTGTTCTGCTTCTGCTTCTGCTTCTTTTGCTTCTTCCTTTATGAGTTTGAGTTTACTTTCTTCCTTAGCCTTTTCCAGTGCTTGAATTAGCGATTTCAGACAAGTTTCAGCATCTGCCCCCAATGTCTTCGGCGTTAAGTTCTCTGCAACATCGGCCGGAGTCATGTTCGTCTGTTCGAGCAACTCTTCGATCTTCTCAAACAAAGGGTGCGATTCAATGTTCAGGTAATTCTTCGCCAGAACCTTAAAAGCTCCGAAGGTACAGTACCCCAATTCAATGTGCATGTCCATCCTCCCTCTTCGGATCAGAGCCGGATCGAGTTGCTCCACATGGTTCGTGGTGAACACGATTACTCGTTCTCCGGCGCACCCTGACCAAATCCCGTCGATGAAATTCAAAAGCCCAGATAAAGTCACCTTGCTTTGATCACTGCGGTCGTCTTCCTCCTTCGGCTTCGGGAAATTGTCTCTGTTCTTCTTGTTCTTCCCTTTCTTCCTCTTCCGTTCACCGGTTAAATCAAGGGAACAATCAATATCCTCAATTACGATCAACGACTTCCCTTTGATGTTAAGCAAAAGCCTCTTCAAATCAGTATTGTCCTTCACTGTCGTCAATTCGAGATCGTAGATATCGTATCCGAGCAGATTCGCCATGGCGACAATCATGGTGGACTTCCCCGTTCCCGGTGGGCCGTACAGCAGATACCCACGTTTCCAAACCTTACCGATTTTCGCATAATATTCCTTTCCTTGGCTAAACGTGATTAAATCATTGACAATCTGCTCCTTCCTCTGTTCATCCATGGCAAAGTTGTTAAACGAAGCAGGGTGCTCGAAAACCGCGTAATCCCACTCGTCACCACAGCAGTTCATGTACAGCCTCCGCTGCCTCCGACGACTCTGGATCGCCTTCCCCTCTTCCACCACATAGTGTATGTACTTGTCGGTGATGAGCGTCCGGTGTTTCTCGCTGAAGCTGAGTTCATAAAACTTTTTCTCGTTATCAGCATGACTCCAAGATATGGTTTTTCCTTGAGGAATATGTTTTCCTTTGAACCACTTGACACTGACGCCTTCAAACACGTCGTGGATCTTCTCGAAATCGTCCATGGCGAGCACCATGGGGTTGTTTTTCTTCCCAACTTCTGCTCTGAGCCGGGAAGCTCTGGCGGCAGACTTGGAACTGAGGTAGCTTTCTATGGCGGTGTAGGCATCGCTGCGCTTGTAGAGGCCACTGGAGTACTCATTGAAGATGATTGTCATGATGGGATTGAAGTAGTTCACCAATTTCCTCCACTGAAGTTGAATGTAGTCCTTGAGGAATTTTGGGAAAAATTGATCGAACGTGGCCCAGACGAACATCAGTCCGGCGAGGCTGGAACCCCATTCAGCCAACTTTTCTGCTCTTATCTCCATGTCTCCGCCGCTGCTGCGAATTTTCGTTGTGTGTTGTTGATGTGTTGATGTGAAGTGCATGGTTACCAACTAGAGGTATATATATGGGGAATGGCAGTGTGTTCCCGTCAAGAATTCCTACTCATTGTATGATTTGGATTTTCTATTTCTGTTCGGACCCAAAGTAACCATGATATGGATTTCTTTTGTTTTGAGTTATTGGATTTCAAACTTTATTTATTTATTTATTTTTAACTTAAGAAAATTGTCAGGGATATGGAGAGTAATGCCTAGATATAAATCTTATCACTGTCATGTCGAAGTAGGCTGTCATAAAGGGAATAATTACTAGGTCACATAATGCCTGATAATTTTAAATTTTAATTTTGAAAGTTAAAAATAAAAGGGATTCATGTTTCAAAAAGGCTTTTTTTAATATGGGTTGCATTTTTTTTGGTATAATTTAAGTATTAAAATTACTTAAATATTTTTAATAAAATTATCCTTCAACTTATTTATTAATGGTATTTTTGTAATTTTAATACATATTGAAGAACATTTTTTTTTATATTTTATAGGTCAAACTGTATATTTATTGTATATTAAATGTTTTGTTGATTCTATGAAATTATTAAAATACTTTAATAAAAAACATAAAAAAATTATTATATATTAAATGTTTTTGCTGGTTCTATGAAATTATTAAAATATTTTAATAAAAAACATAAAAAATATTTTGATTAAAAATATTCAATAAATTTATAAGTGAAACTATATTTATAAATGCTTTTTTAGAAGTAAATAATTAAATATTAAAGACTTATATCTTATAAGAGTTCTATTGGGCCTAAAAAGGCCTATTAGCTAACAAAGTTAAATAAGGTTTAAATTTGAATCAAAATTGGATAAGAAAATTAGAATTAGAAGTATATATTTTGTTTCAGCTCTAAACTTTTATTTTGATTTTATCAGTTAAAACTGATAAATATAGAAAATAAAATCTCTTTTTCTTAATAGAAAATTAACCTCCATGATATGGATTTCTTTTCATTTAAAACTTTAATTTTGAAATATAAAAATGAGTCCTTAATTGTGCAATCTAATTTCTTATGTTATGTTCCCATCTTTGAATTCAACTTTAATTTTCATGAAAATTTGGAGTTTTTATGAAAAAATTCACATTTTATAAGTCAAATTACATATTTAATATACAATTTTAATCTAATTAAAATAATTTTGTTAAAATAATATACAAAATAATTTTATTAAAAATATTTTAATAAATTTATATTTATATATCAAACTGTTCTCAAGGCACTTTTTCAAGAATAAAAATTATAGACCCATATCTGATGGGACTTCTATGGGCCCTAACAAGGACCTGGTAGTTGAAAAAGTTAAAGGCAAAACCATAAGTTAAGCCCCTCAACAAACTCCAGAATCGCTATTAAGCCCTTAGACTTTAATTGATACATATAGACCCTTGAACTCTGGGGTCAAAGCTATTAAGCCCTTCTTCTTACGCCAACTTAACTGTCCTTTGGGACTACGTAGCCTGGCTTAACTGCCGCTTCGGACACACTCGCTTGGCTGCTTGGATGGCAAAATATTGCC